GAGAATGGGATCATTGAAGGATTTGAGAGTCGAAAATGACAAAGAATGAGAGGGATATGGGACATTGAAGAGTTCAATAAGCAAAAGTAGACACAATCGATGACAATTATGACTTAAACATTTTTAAAGGAAAGCTAGCAGGAGAGATACTATTGAACTTTGAAATTTTATATATACTTGATGTTGATGGCTCGTAGACAAGAATTGTGTTGCAGTCTTGATGATAGATTGTAAATGATCACACGACACAATTTTTGTTACATGTAATTTTTGTATTTGATAATCAGAGTGCAAGCTACTACACATCGTCTGTGTCACAATGAAAAGATAGACCATTATTTTATGACTTTTTTATGAATAAGTCTCCATATTATCTTGTAACACGATGAGGTTGTTGCAAAACAATTCAAAATTAAATTATAACCAAAAACTAGTTAGAGCCAAACAATTTGACAATGATTACCAACACAACACTACGATTAGGTGTAAGCCAAAACAAGTTGAATGAAAGCTGTACCAAACTTATGTCCAGAGGAGATATCCACACTCTTTTCTGCATAAAAATATCAAGTCTTAGATATTCTCAGTAATTATTTTTGCATTTTGATAATCATAAACATTTGAAATAATACTCTACATTCGAATGTGCGTCACGAAAACATAGCAAACTAGATATAAAAAATTTATTTTATACAGAAATCTGGATTACTGACTAGATACGTGAAGAAAAATATATCTGGACGTTGACTTATGAGTGTTGATTCAGAGATGACACTCTTTTGTGAATAGTAAAATTTTCTAAACAAGATCCATTTGCATCTTGTTTAGAACAACTCACACTCGTGTCTTGAACATGCACATGAGACTCTTATCTACACATGTTTAATTTGAAGACAAATGCAATTGAACAGACGTCTTCACCGCCGTTCCAAATTGATAAAAGCACGTGGTACTTAACGTGACCCTGATCTGTTGTTTTGTGTAGGTTTCTATTTTCCTAGAAGTAGGGAAGGATGTAAACTTATGCTGAGATGCAGAAGAAGCTGCCGCTACCATGAAGCCAAAGTCCAAAGGACGCACAATCTGTGATATACACCACAAATATATTCTCGAGGGCAAATCGGTACGCACGTGATTCTCGTTTAGCAGCTGAGGATAAATTTTGTTTTCCATACCACTTTATCAAAGAAATAATACAAGACAAAGTCGAAAGATGAGTCATGCGCGAAATGAATTTAAGGACTTCCTCGGAAAGTCCTTATTTTCTGGCTCATCAGCTCTTTACTACTTATCTCTCAATATACTTCACCAAACTGGACCAAATCGCCAGTCTTCTTTGTACATAAATCTCATCTTCAGTCCAATTTAATGTCGAGCTGTTGAAAATAGCAACATATCCTCGAATCGAGCAAAAAAAGTCTAGAGAAGAAAAAGGACTCCTCCATACTCATTAAAGTTTGGACTGTTCCGTATTGTTCTGGTGGTAAAATGTTTTTTGTTAATTCTACCGGCCTGTGCAGTTGATGTTGGGACATGTTACAAACAAGTAAAGGTAAATGCCGATTTTCCCCCAAATCTTCTGAAGATTAATTTATATACCTTATGTTCATAATGTCATGCACTTTTGGTAAGTCAGCATGCGGCCTGAATTTAGGATACGCCGCCTTATTATTCTGCTGTGGGATTCACCCTGAGTTGCTGAATTTTATCCGGAGAATTAACCTCAAACTACTTTGCTTTGTCTCATGTCAATCTTGGCAAAGGCCTGGTCTCCATAGTATCAACGCTGGATCCACATTTGTTGACAATTCATGGGACACTGAAATAATGTAGGCTGCAAGTTGTAAGACTGGTATCGCTGCAATCAATGAGCTGGTAAAGAAACTCAATATCATGATTAGGGACTTGTGACCTTCCGGTGGTGAACTAGAGTGCTATAAATTATACTGATCATGCATGGATAAACTTAAATGGTAAAACTCAGATAAAAAAATAAAATAAAGGAATATATAATGTATTTTTAAACTTATAAGCAAAGTATCTTGTGATATATTGTGTTTCGAAACAATAAGCTTAATAATATCCCAAAAATAACCTCTAAAAACCATTCTTAATTTTCATGAAATAAAGAAATATATTAGAAGAATAATTACATCTAGCATCAACTTAAAATAAGTCTGAGAAGAAGATAATTAAAATCATAATCTTTAGACTTTTTAATGTAATAATTTTACCTGATATGAAGAAATTTAACATGAACAATTGTTAAAAATGGATGAAATCTGCTCACAAGAAGGTCAACAATTTTATTTAAACCCAAATTTCAAGATTTTATCTCCCCACAAAGACTCTGCGTATCTGCTTCAAGCGGGTATATTGGAGCGGCCCAGTCCAAATCCATGGGAACACGAAGGAAAGTACGGTTCGTATAAAGTCTGCCATGTGAGAATGATAGATGATACGACAACAGATATTCGTATTGTTTGTAGATAGTTTGATCTTTAAAATACATCACATAGATGTTGTAAGATAAGTTTTTTCAATTTGATATTATTAGAATGCAATATGTGATTTATTTTTAAGAGTATTTTATTTCTCTGGAATAGTACTTCTTTTGAACTTTTTTGCGCACATTGATAGTTCTCTTTGAATTTTACTTTGAACTATTAAACATCAGAAGATGAATTTCATTATTCCATCATTGTAAGAATAAAATAATTGATGAGTTCAGTATCATAATATTTTTTTAATTTATTTTCAATAGGAACACATTCATTTAAATATGCACGTTCATCTAACTTATCTAGATTAAAGATCAACACATATGCAAAAGCCTAATAGGGAGCTTAATTAAACTTGATAATTCTACTGTGTGGATTGCACGAGTTCCTTGAATTTTGTATGGAAATGAATAAAAGTGACATCTACATTAATGACCTAATATGCTAAACGATGTGAAAATTATTTTGATACTATGATATAATCTTCAATTTTTTTCCAATTTGTATATAATACATAAAATGTAGAAATGTGAATTGTCAAAATAATCTAGAAAAAAGTACAACTTGAAATTATAAATTTTTTATAGGAATGATATAGAAATGCTTATGAACTTATGATGTTTGTGATTTAAGATATATATCTCAATCACAGACATAAACATTGATAAATTATTTATGTTTTTTTAACATGGATAATAAGAAGGATATAGGAATTTACTTTATTTTGATTTTTAAAGAATTAAAATAATTATTTTTGAAATAAAATAATACAAAGAGTTTCTAAACTAAAAATCTGATAGATTGAAATTTTCTTTTTCCAATTCAGATTTTTGATTAATTGATTTCCAAAACTCTATACTAAAAACTCTAAAATCTATCTTTTTTTTTAATGGTATATTTAATCTTTAGAAAATATTGAAAGTTGATTGTGGGTGGAATAATTTTGAACCCATTAATTGGATGCAAGCAATGAGAATCATTTGCTACCGGACATAGAATTAAATGATGATTTTAATTTATTCTATTTCAAAAGAAAAATCAAATTAAAGATCAGTGTAAAAAAGACTCAAAAATTTGCAGTGGGATATATATTACATATACACAAAACACACAGATACACATATTATAACATGAATTTATTTAGTTTTTAGTTGACTAAAAGTTGGAAAATTAGTGAACGGTAGAATTTCTGTGCTGAAAGTCAGTGATGCTGCTGGAGGAAAATTTTCTAAATTCCAGTATCACTAAATACTCGTTTAAATCATTTGGTTGCACTTCTGTTCAAATCAAATCCACGACCATTCTTAGCATCACTACAAACACATCTGCAGGCATAACCTTCAGTGATGATAGAAGCAACAAGTAGTTTTCAGTTTGTTTGAGCAGATGCAAGAGCTTCCCTTCACCAAGAATCCAGACGTCCAGCTTTTAGATGATAGACGAAGGAAGTAAGGAAGGAAAGAGAAGAATGGGGCCTTTGCCTGAAGAAGAAACATCTATCTAGGGTCGGCAAGAAGGGCCCGTAATAACGGACATGATTCTGCTAAGGGGCCCAGAGAGAACGAGTGATGACATTATAAGTAAAACCCTTATACTGTTCATCCTGTCTTAGGCTTAGAGGTGGTCTTCAAATAAAAATTATTTATCCTCTTTATTTAAAACCTTGGCATAATATACCACCTACAAAAGTAAAAGTGTGGCCCATGGAATACAGCCAAAAAATTATGGAACAAAACACAAGGTACAGTATCATGAAATTCCACTAGAAGCCAATTCCGAGAAACTTTTGATCACGTTCTTCCATCGCCCTTGGAACCGAGAAAGACATATCCATGAGCAAGCAGCAGCCACGACGAAGTCTCCGGCATGATGAACTTATCGCTGAATCAAAGGATTAAAGTAGCCTTAAATGCGCAGCCTCGCATGCTAATTTTAAAACTTCCGTTTTGTTTGTGCTTTTGTTGGTAGATAGATGCGTTTCTCGGCGAAAGGATCCATCTTTGTCTTCCCTTCTGAGGTTCATTGGTCTGCCTTCTAAACCTTGACATTTGGGTTCGTCGGGAGTAGAGAAGCTTTTGCAAAACTAATGAAACTTCTTGTCGCTTTGATCGATCGTTAGTGTGGATCAGAATTACCAGCAGTCTCCGGCCTGATGAGCTCACAGCTGAACCAATGTGAATAGCATGCGCGACTGCGCATGCTATTGAATTCTTTATCCTCCAGCAAGGCACAATATATATATTTTAATTTATATATCTGTCCATGACCCATCTTGCTGGGGACAATATTTCTTCCTAGTATGCTTAAAAGAGTGATTGCTAGGCTCTTGATCACTTACTTACTTTGGTGCTTCGAGAAGTAGACATTAGTAAAGCAAAATAGCTGCCCCCAGATTATTACCATGTTCATCTAGAAACGAGTTGGATATGTGGATCCATCATAACTTGGTCATTTTCAACGATACGTGTATCAAGGACCAGAATCTCGTGTATCACAGCAGGGGGCCCATGTAAGCACCTACAGCACTAGGTCCAGTTGGCCAGGTTCATGGAAAGCACCTCCAAGCCTACAGACGATCACCCTGCACCATATTCACGACACTTTCAAACACACTGCGCGAAAGTGCTCAAACTTGAAAGTCGATAGGTTGTATTTGAGACATAAATTCTATTCCGTTCCGTGCCCAGAGAATAGTTAACTGTGGAGAGAAGGTGGAGTTCAGCAGTTTGACTTACTAACAGCATCGCAGAGAAGATAGTGGTCTGACAAGTCAATGAGAGGCTGCGGAGATGGACGCCTTCATCCACGCTGATTTTTATCCCGTGTCTGAGGAAGTCTGGAGAGGGAAAATTGCACCAACGTGCAGCATGTTTACATTCATTGTCGTACAGCCAAATCCCAAATAGGTGGTCGGTTGTGTTCGCAATGTGCTTTCCAGCAGTTCCTTTTAATCGAGATCAGTCCGAATTTGAGAGTTCTCCAACAGGTTCGGACCGCACAACTGTCAGCGGTAGACAGATCAGTAGATCTGGGCCTACCCCTACCTTCCCTTCTCGTCTGGAGTTAGTGGTTTCCATTTGACCACATTCTTCCGCATTTTGTAGTTGGATTTGTCTCTGCGTTGACAAGTACCTGTACTGAACCCAATCCACAGCGTTGGACAATTCGTCGCAGTATATATCTTCCACCACATTGCGTGCAATCTACTACGTACCACAACAACATCGATCCACCAGATCACGAATTGCTGGTAGCTGCTGCAGCGCTGCATGCAATATCAAAGGAACCCGAGAAAAGTTGCTGGGCCAGCAGGATCCACGATGGGACGGGGAGAATCCAAGGAGCAGACTGAAATGCTGCTGCTACTGCTGCTCGTACTGCAGGCTCTGGTGATGGCATCCGAATTGCCGAGGGCCAGTGCCGTAGAGACCGTGGTAGGTACGCCATTCATAACAGCGAGCACGTCCGAGTTCGGCTTGGGAATCGAAGGGCTGGCAGTGGATCAGCAGGGCAATGTGTACGCAGTGGGGTTCAGTGGAGACGGGACGTCCGGCATCGGGTCCGTGGCGAACTCGACAGGGGAGGTCATGCAGAAGCTTTTGACGAAGGACCAGACAGGCTCATCGTCCTTCAATGGGCTCAGATTCTTACCTGCTTCGCCCAATCTGCCGACCTTCGACCTCAGGGCGCTGGCGGCCGACGTGAAGCATAACTCCGTGGTGCTGCTGTTGCGGTCGAAGCGAGACCACAGAACCCGAGGCAGTACATTCTGCAAGAGCAATGACGCCAGCAGGCCGATGATCCAGCCGAACGACGTCGCTGTGGCTCCTGGATCGGGCCGAATTTACATGAGCGGCGGAGCCTACGGCAAAGTGAACACCGTCGTCGGCGACGGGGATCTGTGGATGTGTCAAGCGAAATCTGCCTTCACTGAGACGGCCGTGGACGATCTGGGCGAGCTCAATGCCACGTTTCTGGGTCACTTCGGGCTCACGAACGGGATCGAGGTGTCTCCGGATGAGAAAACTCTCTACCTGACTGAGTCCTTCCATGTGGCGGCCGAGCCGTACTCGAACGTCATCTGGAAGTTCGACATTGGTGCAGACGGCGGCGTCCTCAACCGACAGCTCTTCGTCAATTTCACTCAGCTCGACGACTCCGGCTGGATCGACCTCGATGGCATTCGCACCGATGCCGAGGGAAGTCTATTCGTGACCCGAAATGGTATGTTCGGGCAAGCCGACAAGTTCCATCCCAACGGAACGCATTTGTTAACTATCCAGCTGCCGACGATCTTTGAGACGACGAATCTGGAATTTGGAGGACCCGAAGGCAAGACCTTGTACATGAGTGGCAAGTGTAGAGACGATCCTGATAGGGGCTGTGTCGAGGTTTGGAACAGCACGGTGCCCGGCCGTGCTTGGAGCGAGCTCAGAATTAGCAGCGCAGCTTCTCCGCCCTCGTAGACATTGCGTTCGTCATCTCCCTCTTGGACAAGCTCCCTGACTTCGTTGATCATGGACTGAATTGGAACAGCCAGCAGGCAAATCTAACTAACGCACAGCAGGAAGTGGCAGGCCCAATCCAATTGATCAATCACCAAGTTCTGTGAAACAACACAGGCTCTCTCCAGAGTATGAGCGAGCTGTCCTGTGGTTAGAAAATCTCGAGCGTTCGCCACTGAACAGAGAGAGTCAGTCCGAGGTGGGCTGTGTCTGCCAGAATCCAAAGCTCGGCAATGTCCAGAAGCTATACCTCCTTTACGACCGACGATAATGAACAATTTGATTATACAGGGGAATTCGGAGAGTCTGACAGATGTCGATTACATCCCGCTATCGAATGATGAAGGGGTCGGCCTGTAAGTGGACTGACATTCAGATTGACGTGGAACTTAGCTTGATTAGTTTTTCAATTTAGACAGCCCGTGGAGAGGAACTGGTTGAGAAGAAACCGCAGGTGCCACAGAGCTGTGAACGCCTGTTGGGCTCCAGTCAGTTGTGGAGGTCAGCGAAATTCTGATGGTCCTAGATCAGTAATATGTCAGTCATCTGCTCAGTTTTGTGAACCTTTCGGGAGACGTACGGGCATTCACCCTTTGGGCTCCACTAGACCGCAGCTTAGGGGCACGAGCGTGTCTAGGAGACCGGTACAATGATGAGGTTAGCTGCTATGTAAAATACACTTTCATGATTCTGTATACGATTGGTCTTCCTAGTTTCGAAACAGACTTTTCGTTCTCGTTTTCCAGCTCACTCATCACAGTACGCATGTCAGCCATGCTGCAGTAGCTTGCTTTACAGCTTTCAGAACTGCGGGTCATAACTCTCACAAACTTGGGTTCGCCAACGCCTGCGCATTGAATGGTTGTATGCGAGGCACTGAGTGAACTCGCCTCGGAAGCGACAGCCGAGAGGGACTCCGATGTCAAACCTCCTGCTGGGCTCACAGTTGCTGTAAGCTGGTTCCCTGATTCTCATCATATGAACACTCCTGTTGCACGTATTTCACGACTCTTCCCTCAAGCAATTGCTAGAGCACCAGATCTTCCATCGAATCCGTCCTGTTGCTGGGCAACCTTAGGAGACAGGTGGATTGGAATGCCACACTTGACGGGCCTGAAAACATTCTGACTTTGCAGCTTTAAAAGCTCGCCTCCATCCGCACCAATGTTCACAAAGCTCACCGATGGATCCCACTCGCGGGGCCCAAGTAGAAACCATGGGGCCGGGGCTCGGGCTCATCTGGAGATTCTGAACGGGTTCCTCCCGTAGACCATCGTCCCCGAGCGCTCTCAACACCCACACCCTAGCACGTTCGTAGAGTTATGTCTTAAAGTTATATGGTTTCTCGGAATTCTTACGTACATATTTTACTTCTGACACAACTTTGCATTGACCTATGATGTTCATATCTGACCATGCTTTAAACTTTGAAATTTTTCTGTACAAGAATTAATTGTATAAGGAAAAGAATTTTCCTCTTTTATGTGGATCAAGAGAATGATGACAAATACAAGACTGAATAGGAAGTATACTTATTCTTGTAATCTGTAAACTATATAAACTTTGTTTTTATATGTTTCATTTGAGACAAAGATTAAAATACATTAAAAGTAAATTGTATATTTTTTGTAATTTACAGAAATTAATATGTTCATATAATATTCACATTAAGTATGCATGCGCTTGAAATTAAATGATTATAAAACACTATCTATGTATTTTTTTAAACTATATGTTATATTAAGTTATTTTATTGTGGTATCGTTAAGGGTTTACTTGTTAATGTCATCACTGTCTTTACTTGATTAGGCATTCAGTTATTTTTCTAAAGAGAAAACTTCGCCCTATTTGCTCCGCTATTCTTAATATCCCTTTTAGTACGACAATCAAATCTCGAATTTGTACACACGCGAGCTCAGCACACATGAAGCTATGTACAGGCGCGACCTGTATCCTGGATCGAGATCTGCAACTGGCTGCTGTTGTTTGTTCAAGATGGACACGAGTTTAATTATCATCTGTTGGAATCTCATACAATGACATTTGTAAAGCGTCTCTCTAACTTCGTACCTTACACTATGAACGGTGTGCTTGTTAGCTCATGACAATGTCTTCCAGCCCTGAGGTTGTTCTCCCCTCAAATTGACGGATTACCATCTTATGTCGCCTGGTCAACATGTGTGTCAGTACGAATTATAAGGACACACAACGAGGATTTCAGCCCACGTGCTTATTAAATAGCAGCTAACCCTGAGAAACAAACACGCCGTAAGTCTTACGGCGGACCGGCAGTTAACCGGTTAATCGTCGGTCTCCTTAAACCGGTCCACTTTTTTTCCGAACCAGTTAACGGTTAACCGGACCGTGGCCAAGCCTGCAGTAAGAATGCGTGACCTGATCCCCGGAATTGCATGCACGTGCTTTGGAGATAACATGTACAACAGGATCAAGGAACCTAACCGCGGTCATTGGTCAACCATCATGGCTTGGATTACAAGTGGTCAGAGAATAATTTACTAGCGAACAGATGCAGATGGACCTACGGAGTGTTGGCACTTTATTAGGAACTCATCGAATTTCATTATGGACACTGTGAGTGTGGAGACTCGTGAGTAGTGTAGCTGACAATTTGCACAGTGGGGTGTTAAGAATTCTGTTTGATCTTTCAGAATCATCGCGAGCGCAAGCTACCTTCTACTTGTAAACATTTTGTTGTATACGGTGTTTTTCTTCAATGAGGTCTTCATGTCAATGTATAGTCCACTGCGAGTGTGGTTTCTATGAATGAAAGGGAAAATGTTGAGAATATGAATCACTGTCAAACTAAGCAATCTCTCCATGAGTTAAAGGTAGTCATTGTTCTTTTCTTTATTAGATAACTTCATATACAATACATTTAAGTCATACAGACCATAATTACTACCAAAAAACTAGTAAAACTGGAAATTACTTGAGCATTAAGTGTTAACAAATTCCACCTTTTATGTCACAGGTGGAAGCAAAACAATTTATTCAGTTCTGTGTTTTTATACTTCTAATAAAGCTATGTGCTAGAAGGCATATTTCTTTACATCCACACATTACTGAAGACATCTATCACTTTCTACACAATTCGATTATCGCGCATCATCATAGTAGTAAATTGAAACTCATTTTATCCAACGTGCTTCTCTTTTATAAATCATAAAATTAAACAAGGATATGCAATAAATACTCAAATATTGAAGTGCTATCCTGGTCATGACTTCTTAAAAAAACATGATATGTTTTGAATTTATATTTTTAATGTATAAAGAAAAAATCTAATTAAATTATATATCTCTGAATTATTTACTTTGATTCTTTATCTCTACATTCAAATATCTTCCGTCAAATGTGTTTATAAACAAAAATACATTATTATTTTGAGTTAGAAATTTATGATCCTTAATATTAGTAATCATAGTATATTGTTTTCTTTAGTGAATTCACTATAATGAAAAACTTTGAAAGAAGATTATCAGAACTTTCAAATTTTTATTTCTATATTTTTAAAAATTGCTATAATTTTTTATTGTAATTTTTGGTTGAGAATTCATGGAAAATGATTTTTCAATCAATTTCTGCATATTTTAATAAGTAATAATATAATTTTCAAATAGAAATTCAATATTTAAAATCTATTATCTTTTTCATATGTTTTTGTCCTTTCAAAAAAGTATATCAAAACTAAAATCATTAAAAAAATCAATTTCCGCATAAAACCAATACAAATAGTATCCTTAAATATATTCAAAAGATTAAAAAATCATAAACTATCTGTCAAAATAGTTTCCATCGCCACAAAGTGAACTTAGTGATATTTGTGTTATATGTAAAAATATCATATTCAATTGAATGTAAGAATATAAGATGTAACAGAAATTTACTCTGTTGTTGTTACATTATTCCCTAAACCCTAAACATATCTAAATATTTGCTTGCAAAACATGTTGACCATGTTCATAATATATAAGAAATAAAAAATGAAATTCATTTATGCTTAAAATATATAATTACCTTGCAGTACATTTATTTAATCGTGTTTCTTCACCCCAAAGCTCAATTTCATTTGATAAAAATATCTTGATGATTATCATATGATCATTATGATAGCCTATGAGCTTAAAATAAATTTCACCATCATATCAAAAAAATCAATATAAAAACAAAGATTATGCCAATGACACGGAACTCATATTTAAAGCTTATCATCAAAGTTGTATAGTTCAAAACTTAAAAACCATTTTTACTTGTGACTTACAAACCATTTTTATCATCAATCATTAACATCATAATGATGAAATTTTATTCAACAAGGTACTATGTATATATTTTTTTACAACATAATTTTCATTTCTCATGAAATATCATTTCATAAAAATGTTTTTTATATTAAAAGACAATATTGATAAAAATGGATTTTTTTCACTCAATACTTGCAAGTAACATTTTTTTTACCATCAAACAAAAAAATAGATGATGTTATATTTTAATTACTCTAAAATTGATTTTGATAAGACAAAAGATATATTAATGCTTGTTTGTGTACATAAAGATGTTGATGAAAAATGTTGTTTCAAAAACACAATATTGTTGAGTAGTAACTTCAAGATTCAGCTTAAAATAGCTTGGCAATCCTTGATGCTAGGATATTTATACCAATGGTTTGTATATTACTCATTACATTTAGTACACTCTCACACATGCACTTTACCGTGGATGTAAAACTATGTGGTGAACACATCACATTTTGGTGTTGTTTGTTTACATTCACTTAATGGTTTGTTTTTTATTCTTGACTAAGTGCTAATAAATGGATTCAAAGTTGGTTTCGGTTTGGAGTTCTGTGACAGTGTTATTCATTTGTTAAAGTGTTTTTTTAATATTTGTCTATGTCAGATTATATTGATACTGAACTTTGCTCTTTGCTGACAGTTTTTTCAATGACAGTAATATACTGACGTCTTTTCTAGGAAAACTTACAGGTAGTTCTTTCGAAAGTTTTTCAACAACGACAAAAATTTGTCTTGTTTTCGACGGTGACGAATTTTTTAAAGAAAACCTAGATGAGTTCAAGAGGTGACAGAATTTTAATTTATTTTTACTGTGTTTGAGTTTGTGATAATAATCTAAACCAAGTTCAGATAGCCGGCTCATTGCATATTCCAAAAGAGAATTTATCAAGATATCACAAAAAGTGCAAGGCGAAAGCCAGCCGACGGTCCAGACAAACAGCAGTTGGAAGTCAAGGGCTGAAGATTCAAGGCTGAAGGTGGAAGAGAGTTCACTAAGAAGCAATCTTTCAGCAGATCAAATAGATCCAATTTGAGAAATGTTGTTGAAATCTACCAGAATTGAAAAGCACCGGTGTACAATTAGTAGCGAGTTTGAGAGCTGGGAGAGAGTGGGCTCATTAACTTCATGATTTTGTTTGAACAAAAGGTAGCCAAACAGATATTCGCTCGCTCTGACGGAGCTGGAGCGAGCTACATAGGCTGAAACACATATGGCGATGCTATAAGTAGCATTGATTTTCTACTTGCCGACACAATTGTTTCTCTACCCAACCGCGCAGAGGTGCTCGATGATTCTTTTGGTGTTGCATGCATCTTGGTCTTGTACTCTGTCCATATTTTTCTCATGTGCGTATTTTGTGT